CATGCAAGAAACAATCACTTCTCATTGTTTTCCCCACTTGAGACTTTTACCCCAGTAAAGGAATCCAGAAAGTGACCAGGAGTTGTAGAGACTCTCCAAGTGATTTCGCTGCGCGAGCTATCATTAAATCAATCCTACGAAGCATCAGATCTAATGAAATTTCTGGGCGTGGCATGATATCTAACTGGGTCTCTACTTATCCGGATTTGGTGGCCCAATATATCGATATTGAAATGCAGTGCCGTTCAATCATTAATATTGTGGCTTACGGCACAGCAGCCGTTTTTTTTACCCCAAGTATGTCACAGACGAGGATCTAGAGACATGCAGATTTTTCATTATCCAGAAACCTCAAACCACAGAATTGATTATATCCTGGCCCTCGCAAAACTCTCGCATAGGGAGATGTAAGCTTCATCTAAGATCTGCTCATCTTCAACTTAGCTCCCTGTCCTGTATTCCTTCTTGACTCGGGTTCGACAAACTCCCACACTGCAGGTAAATCACGGGCGCAAAAAGAGTAGACTTGAGATAATGAATATATGCTTAGAACCTGCGGGGTTCTGCTCACCGAGCTGAGTTTGGCTCGTACAGTGGTCCAATCCCCAATCCCACCTTTAGTTCCGCTTTTCAACAAACTACCAGTACCAGCCTCACAGAGCCCTAACATATGCACTGCAGCACAAGAGCACAACAGCACAAGAGGATAACAGGATGACATTGGGCGAAGCCTACAATGAATATTGAAATATCGATCTTCATATCTGAATGGGCCATTCCGCAGTTTGACCAGGGGTTCGACTGGATTCCCCATGTTTATTGATGTCAAGATGAAATCCATCTATGAAGATCACCCAAAATCAAGTATATGTGCTTACTTTCTGATAGATGACCCAGCCTCCATCCATTGATACGATCATGGTTGGGATATTGCATATTACCTGACTAGCTTACCAAGATATCATCTGGAGCCCTTTTCACCCCTCACAGTGTATCATCACCCGATTGCATCGTTATACTAAAAATGTGAAAGATTACCTTTGCGGAAGATTGTCTCGCGCTTACATCTGCAGGTGTGGGTGAACGGGTATCTAACAGATTAAGATCTCAAAGATTTCCTGTCATCTTACCATCTCATCTTATATAAACCGGACTTTTGTACTTCCGCAATTATGCGCCTAGATTTACGAGGGATACAATGACATACTGTATCACCTTACTGGTTCTCATCACATCAAGTCCGGCACGATTGCAGAATACGGAAGGTTCAACCTCCGCAGTAAGGAGGGAAAAAAGCCTCACGTGGCACCAAAAGGCCAAGTTAGTTGGCCATCGTATTTGCTTCTTGGATCTTCACGTTGTAATCACTTTTTCTTTTCCTGCCAGCTTCCAATAAATTGCGACACGATTCAGTGAAGAATAACCGCGAGTCTTTCAATTGCTTTCAACTTACATACCTACCTAGGTACCTAGTAGCTAATCATTCGATCTGAATGATCTGAAAGTTTAAGGTGTGTGATATAGGTAGGTACGGAATTGTTTCATCTGCATTCTCGTCCCAATACAGGAGCTTCACCGGTAGCAAACGTCGACAAAAGAAATTCTATTTTTAGCAATGTCAAGTGATGTGTGCGGACGAGAATGGTTCAGTCAGCTTTCAAACTATTAGATGCATATAAACGTGTATTTTGAACACGACGTTGAGGGAAATACAAAGGTGGCATATGTGAGTCTTCACGTTTTGTGGCGTATGAAAGAATCATCGTGGCAACGCCACCGTGCGGTATGTTTTCTTTTTCTCCTCAAGAAAATGATTAAAGCAAGGAAGCTCGTGACGGACCGTCTGTCGTTTAGAGTAGAGGGCTTGGATTCATCAGATTTGTTCAAAGATTGGCTCTTGTTGTTCATATGAAAAGTCCGTATGCCAATTTCATGTGATTACGAGTATTTTTGCCGAGGGTGGCTTACGAATGTCTCGCTATTAAGCGCTTCACGACACGATGTCAGGAATGTATCATATTGTCTCTTATCCGCCTGCATGATTCTCTCGGGCCCGTGTCTCAAGTCAAGAGAACGTTGACACCAGTTCGAAAGTATACTTTCTTATCGTACCTCTTTATGTCTTGCCCGCAAGCCGTTGTTCAAACCGTTAGACGCGTGGACGAACAGCGAAAGGCTGAACTCAATCAAAAAGAACCATCATGTCATTTGATCTTGTTCAAGTCTGGAAGTTTCCGGATTGTAAACAGTTTCAAAATGTCTAGCCTTTACAATTTTCCTTCCCTCTTCTCCTTGCGTCCTTCCACCCTTCGTCCAAAAATCCATTTCTCTTTGATGAGCTTGCCGCCCTAAATTGCGACTTCAAAGAATATTTATTTTCAATATTTTGATGACACTGTGTGCAGGACATAAAAAACATTAAACCTCCGAATGGTCTCATAATTGTTCCGTGGCTGCGTGGCTGAAAACTCTCAAGAAATACTTCTTTCATCCTTCGATGATCTTTCCTTGCATATCTTGTACACCGATCAATAGAAAGATCTTGTTCCTCGCGAGTGCGGATCAGCCGCGTGAATTCTGAGTCACGAGCGTATTTTCTAGTTGCATATGTATTCAGATAAAGTGTGATTAGGGTCCTGAAGGGTGGAGAAAGGATCTGCTACTAGTGGTACTTTACTGCCGAGACACCATGTCGATCGACGGACATTGTTCAGCTTCCGCTAGCGATCGCTAGGAGTCGATTGCTTGAAAAAGTTCGATGGCGATAATGTTTGCTAGGAATAATTGCTCGGAAGTAATGTTAACCAGTTTCACAGATTCAAATTCTTCGGATCTGGTGGAATGTATCAATGGAGATCCGTAGGTCACCGGGGTACAAAATGTGGAATAATTCAGGGGCTGAGAATTGGAGCTCAGTTCACCAAGAGTACATCGCGGCTCGCGACCTACACTCCAAGTTACAATTGGGGATTCAGATCAAATATTCCGTATAACAAATTGATATATTTATTAAGTGCAAAAGTATTTTTAATAATTGGATATTCCTCCATATAGGTAGGTAGTATTTCATATATCTCGTCTATTACAAAATATTTACAAAATATCAGTCTGATATTCAGGGGCTTACTAATAGTCGGCGTGAAATATTGATGGTCACAGCTTTTGGATACATACCTACCTACCTACCTACCTACATACCTATCCACCTAGTTATACGTCGTATAGTATGCGGACCCTTCTCTTGCTCATGGGTACGTGCAGTCTTTCTAATTAAGCTTTTTAAACCACACGGAGTACTTAAATCACAGTTACAATCACAAAGTTTACAAGAAGGCTTGATTACATCTTTTCTCGATCATCATTAGCTATGGATTAGTGTTCAAGTGGACATTCAATATGCGCACAGACTGCTTCTTCCCCGCTACCTGAAAGGAAAAGCGATAATCAACCTAAACAGGCATGGGAGATCAACCACGCTCCCTTTTTTTTAACTGTTCTGCATGGCTTATAATTCCCTCTCAATTCCCTTTATTCACACACCCCATATGCAAAATGCCACCACGCAGACGCCGCTAAACCTGCAATGAGAAGAATATAATCACACTTCGAAGGAAATGAACGAAGGAACGTCAGGACATGAATTTTTGGTCAATACACTTTCCTCACCCTTGACATTATTACATCTGAATGGATATTAGTGTTCCAATATTGATGTGTTGTTGAAAACTTGGCATGGATCTCAGCTGTTGTTTCGCAAATCGGTCTTTATTCGAAGCTGAACGCTTTGACGACGACAATGGAGACCACGAAAACTCAAATCTCCAGCACACCTAACAGACGGTGACTCCTTTTCTTTCCTGTCCTCGCACAGTTCCTCGTACAATTCTCCACAAGGAATCAGGAATAGTACACCGCATGTATACCCAACTTCTCACCTGCTGCTCCTGCCCAAGACATTCCCCCAAAGAGCTCGCAAGGATTCTCCCGTTCGAGAAACTTTTCGGGTGGCGATGGAAGGTGCAATTGATCAGGGGGAAATGCTCGCTCAAATCGAAATGTAGCGAGGGGATCGGGGTGAAGTACTCACTCCACTTACTTGAGATTCGTTTGCGGATAGGCTATCATCGTGTTGGAGAATATTCCCATCCACTTCGCGGAATTATTGATTCTTCAAAGATGTTCTCGATTTACGATGTTTCACTTTTCTCAATGACTTGCAAGTGTCAAGTGTTGAATGTTGGATGTTGACTATTGAATTTGGTTTGGGATTTGATGAAGTGTCATCCTAAGTTTGTGGCATGTGTCTGAGTAAGGATGGTGTGGGTGGGTGGCGAGAAGGATTGATACACTTGATTTGCACGGGAAGTTAGCTAGGTATATTTTCTTCACCTCTCAGCGCAAGCAGCCGTGGCGTACTTCTATTGCTTCTTTAGATACGTATTTCATGGATCTAGAGAGACTAGGAAACCATAGGCTATCACAGGAATGGTGCAAGTGACATTTTACTCTTTGCCAACTTCCAAGGCGGGATTCATAGTATTGGAAATCGCGATTGTGTGCTTATGGCTCATGTGTCTTTGTGTCTTTCCTTAGTGGGATCGCTCCTACGGGTTGAGAATCAGGAATCGAAAGTACTCGAATTGAAAGGATGGAGAAGCATGTTATATGCATCATTCCAGTATCCATCGAACGTGGAATTCAGTACGTGCAGCCAGACCTACTTGTAAACACTCATGTAGTGTAAATAATCGATGTTGATGGGGAAATCTCCGTACAATACTGCAGTTTGTATTTAAGAAGTAATTGTAACAAAGTACATGGCATTTCGAAGTAAATTCCCATTTCAAGGACTCGATTTGTATGCATCTCTTCACTCATATATCTATCCACTTGTCTACCCATCTATCTACCCACCACCAAACCCATAGATAGCACCACAGTTTTCTTTCCTGGCCCCTTGAAAAGAGTCTCGTACGTGTCACTGCACTCACTTTACTTCACCTCACATACCCAAATCCACGCAGCAAAAACACAAAAAACTCAAACTCGACCAAATTTAAATTCCCATTGTAAAAATAATCAACCAACCAACACATCATCCACTCCGGTCAGCACCAGCCAGTATAGCAGTAGCAGTAGCAATATCATTATATTATCCATCCATCCATCCATAACCTTGCATAGCTTCATAACACCGTATTCCAATATCCTACATCCTGAGCATGTATACCAAACCATCATTCCCAGTATCCAATTCCAGTTCCAATCTGATCGGATCGGATGTGATCTACTCCCAAGCTGCCATTATTGACTATTTACTCCCGTACACATTTCTCCTGGCCAAATATCATATCTATAATATCATAATATACTATCCTCTCTGCTACCCAATCCTTCAACTCCCAATTCCCAACTCCCAGTTTCAAGCCAAAACCCCCTCACAAACCTCCCCTCCCATCCCTCAACCTCCTCAACCTCTCATCCGCCCTCCTAAATTCCTCTTCCATCCGCTCTCTCTGTCTCCTCCGCGCCTCGATCTCTTCCAAATTCTCCGTTTCTGTTCTCCTTGATGCAGGTGCTGGGATCTTTTTTCTGATTTGGAGAGGCCGGATGAGGGGGACGCTGGGGTCGATGTGGAGGGGGGGAATGGGGGGGATTGTGTTTGAGAGGGTTGACTGGGGAGTGCGTTTTAGAAATGGTGGAGATTGAGATTGACAGGGAGAGGGAGAGTGGAGGTGTTGTTGTGGTGGGTGAAGAGACTGAGGAGATTGTGGCGGAGTGAGGATAGAGAGAGGTAGATTCTGAGAGGGAGAGACTGTAGACGGATGTATAAGCCGTGATAATAAACCCGGGCTCTCTTCACACATCTCTCCACTCAGATATCCATCCCTCCCCTCCCCATCCCGAGCCTTTCCGCCCACATTTCCCTCAACAGGACTAACCGGACTCACAACCCTATTCAAATCCTCGCACGAACTAAGAGGACTCACATCGCCCGGACTATTCCTCAACACAGCATCCCAAGTCCCTATCGTGTGGTTCGCGTATATATCTACCGAATCTTCTCCTTGTTTTTCCTCTAATACTTCTCCAAGTTCCTCCTTACCACCTGTGTGCGCTGGCTCGTCTTCTCTGATATGCTCTACGGAAAATCTGCCACTTGCATCTCTACCAATCTTAGGAAGAACAGCGACGTGTTTCGCGTATGTTTTTGGAATGGCAGGGACTTCGGGAACAAATATTATAGGATTTTGAAGACGAGGCTGCACATTTGGACTGCCCATTCGTCGTCGAGGCGCTTTAATAATGGTCTTAGAAGGAGACACAAAATTCGTCGTAATTTCCTCATCAGCCCCTTCGTTTCGCGAAGGTATGAACTGTGAAATCGTTGTCATGGTAGACATTCTGTCGATTGTTCTCTCTGGTACCAGTAGATTAGTACGAGGTTCGGACTTTGATATGGGTGTACCTTTCCTATTCCAGATTCGAGGTGATTGGCGACCTTGCTCGCTTTGTTTGCCTTTCCGGGGTGGGGATACAATCGTAGGAGATGAGGGCAGAAAAGAGTATCGTGTGCCAGCGATGGTTTCCTGTGCAGGCTCTTGTATATCTGGTAATGCGGGTTGGTTTCTTGTTGGAGATAGGGGGCTACTGGTGAGGGTGTTGTTGCGGGTGATTTCATGAGCTAGAGGATGTCGAGAATGTGGACCGTTCTCTGTGTTACTCCTTTTGGGGAAAGAAAAACCGTGTGGAAGTTCATTCGTCTTGTCCAAGAGTTGTCGAGGATATGGTACATCTCCTGTATTACTTCTTTTGGGAAAAGCGAAACCCTGAGAAGGAAATTCCTCTGATAGGTCTGGGGGGCATCGAGCATGTGGTGCATCTCCCGTATTGCTCCTCTTAGGTAAAGCAAATTCCCGAAAATGTTCTTTCATCGTGTTGTTTTCCTGCTGCATATCAAAACACCCCGGCGGCTTAACAAATTCCACGGCAGGCTGTAACGTTGCACAAGGCGAGGAAGATACTTTTTCGGAAGCATTCTCTTGCACCCACTGAGTTTTGATGATTCTCTTCTCGTCCCCATGAGTATTTGGTAAGCTCGCACTACAGCCTGTGACATCTAAACTTGAACCTTGAGACCGAAAAGGTATAGAGATCGGCAAAGCTTCAATACTGCGAGAGTGTACCGAATGACTCAAAGCATGAGGCCGAGGAGGTATGCGAATAGGTGACGAAGCCGTTGAAGTGCCAAACCTTCCTTTCCAAACTGCAAGTACATCATCGATATTGCCCGGCGTTATATTAATTGTATCTCCATCGACTGCCTCGGTGATGTTTTCCATTCGTTCCTCATCGGCCTGAGAAAATTCGGTTTCCAGGCTCATTCTTCCTCGTCCACTTGAGTGAGTATCATGGCTCCATCGATCTGATGTCCGTTCCTGGTAACTGTTTTCAACGTCAGAGATTGCAGAGTCCCTGACGAAGGAGTCGACAACTGCTGAATTGTCCGCAAAGGGATTTCGACCGATTTCACTCATATATTCTCCAGCACGCTTCTCGGCAGTCCGCTTCTGTGATCTATCACCTTGACGTTTTAGAGGTATATCAATAGGTGCCGAAATCGCATTTAATACCGTAGCATCTGTACCACTGCTGCCTGAAACTACACCTTTAAAATGAAGGTCGAGAAATTCTTTTGGCGTAAGATACTCGTACCCTGTAGCATCATCAACCCTCCAATCATCTGCCGATGCAGACAGAGAACCCTCTTCTTCCATGTCTTCGCTCTTCTTGCCTCCTCGGAAACCGCCAGTGATCGTATTGAACCTATTGAGTTTTGTTTTGACAGTACCCTGTGTGGGCGATTTATGCTCACCTGTTGCTGCGGTGTCCTGCTCACTCCTCGGCCGAACGATCATTTTCCGTAAGCTACCAAATACGTTGGGTTTTTTGGGTTTGCCCTTTATCGAAAGATTTTGCGTTCTCAACCCGTCAAGCTTGAGCTCTTGCGTGCTTGCATTTTTCTGATCGTATATATCGTGCGATGATCCAGCGTCAAAGCTTGCCTTATTTGTTCCAGAAAGATCTAGAGAAACATTCTTCAACCCTTTCTTCTCGCGTCGTGCCTCTTCCGTTCCATTCTCATATACCCTAACGCCCTTCACCCTGCCAGTGTCATCTCCATTTGCCACAATTTCAAAGGTCCCTATGGCCAACATATAGTTGATATCCTCACCCTTTCTCCAGGTCCCTTCCTTTCCACCAACAGTATCACTAGTAGACTCGTTTTCCCTCTCCACCCAGTGTACCACAAAGTCGTCACTATCCTGGCCCCGGCACTTGCGGCAGCTCACAAAGTAATGAGCAATAGTTGGAGGGGTTTTAACGCACTTTTGTTGAGGTGAACTAAGGTATAAGGGACAGCGGTAAGTGTAATTTTGTTTGTGGTTACACTTTAGAATTATCGTGTATGTATTGCACATCTCTGGTTCTTGCGTAGATTAAATAAGAAGAAGAGTTTGAAGACATATTGCAAGTGATAAATTACATATATTCAAACGCGAGTATGATTTTTTACTAAAAGAAATGATGATTGGATCTGGGAGACTGGTGATTCAAAGAGTAAAGGGTCATTTGCTGTAAAGAAACCAATAACAATAGATGCAAATGAAGGAACGAGTACACTTGTGCTATTGATATTGAATCACATTTCGCGTTTCCAATGGCGTCAGGCAGAACATCTCGAGCCAACCATCGTCATTCGACAGATTATGATGAAAAGTCGGCAAAAACTCGTGCGTATTGTTTAATTCCGAGATATTCTGGAGTTGATATGTCACGAAGACAATTCCGCATTGCGCTTCGATGTCTCGTAGCCTTCTTTAACCCTTTTCTTGTCTATTTTAAAGCCATACCTGTACCTGAATAGCCTTGAAAATAGCATGGCCAATAAATTAAACCATATAATCAATGCCCAATCTTTGAGCCCGAATCCAGGCTCCTTCGAATTTGCAGAATCGTATTTCTCACACACTTCCAGATACTTCTTGGGGTCATCAGAGATAACCCCGTCTATCTTATTTTTGATACACCATCTCATCCATTGCTCTTCATTAACAGTCCACGCTAACATGGATCGTTTTGCAGCTTTGGCATCGGCCATAAATTTAGAACCACCAGGTCCGACTAGAATCTGCCGTAGCATATTGAAATTTATATTAGGTATGGATAAAAACTCTCTCGCATACCCTATTGAAAATCCAATGTGCGTTATGGGGAAATCGGGAAGGTATTTAGCGCACAGAGGAATATACTTGGCCTACATGAATGTCCGTCAGTAACCCTACAAAATGCGCAGAAAGATAATTGATAAGGAAAGGTTTGAGTCGGAATAAATGAATGACTTACTGCCCAGCAGCCTAGTAGAACTCTCTGATTCCAAGGTCTTGTTGGCTTCACCTCTCTAATCGATGAAGCGATTAAACTCATCAATTGGTCTGCATCATTATCCAGCTTTTTACTCTCGTTAGCTCGAATTATCTCCTAACGTTGTTATAGCGGCAAATTTACCTTGATATCTAACAATATCCATATATCTTCTAACCCAGGTGTAGTGAGGTATTCTAATAGATCGGCAAGGCGAGGCATAGGTTCGTGGGGGGCCTGGACAGTGCGAAGGGTAGATATATATGACCAGTCGCAATCTATAATCTTTGCGTTTTTGCCAAAACATCTCTTAAGGCTTGGATCCTTGAGAGGCGTGTTAGCCATCGTTCTCAGCGAGAAACGTCATCCTTAAGGTTACAACACACATGTGAGATAACCAAGACCCCGTCCTTTGTAATGTGTAAATCGGTTTCTATCGCATGCGCGCCTATTTCGACAGCACCTCTGAATGCGCCCATTGTATTTTCTGGATGCGCAGCTTTGTACCCTCGGTGTGCAATAGCTTGCGGGAATGTTCGACCGCGCTGATCCGGTTTGGCTAATGTGAAAGTTGCTTGCGCGATATTAGCCATGATTCTGAGGATCCTCAAGCAAATAACTTACAATGAGGAACCTCCATTTTCTCCTGCGACAAAGCTTGTGGTTTTCCAATTCTAAGTTTGCAGATAAGTTGTTCGCAAGATTGATACTCAGTAGGCTGAGATATGAATGGCAAAGATGTGTAGTGTTAACTGCGGGCCGCTTCAATCGATACAGGAAGTCGTTGCAGGAAGTCGAAAACCTTAATCCTGGATGAAGATAAGTGATGAGCTTGAATTTTGGCAACCCATGTACATGAGTGATGATATCGTAATTCGATAAGACGATCACGTTTTTTAGCAATTTCGTTTTCGCAGACTTCAGAAGGAATGGTGATCGATATTATAGATAGTTCTGACAGTTTTTCAATTTTCCAAACCCCAGAATGGCAGTATGTGATGGAACAGTCGTATACAACAAGTTTCCAAATAATGCGTGAAATAGTGCTGAGGTAGGTAGCAGCGATGTACAGAATCCACCTAGGTAGTCCTTCAATTAAATCGAGTACACGATGGGATCCGCAGATGTGAAAGTAGGCGCGGGAGCCGTATATGTTTGTTAGTATTGTCTGACCGCGATAGATAAATAAAGTGAGAAGGAATCAATCAATGCGACGAACTGCCGATTTTGTTCTCGAATTCAAAACAAACAAGAAGCATAGTAAATGTATCAATTATTTAATGTCAATTATTGATTCTAAGGATTGTTGCACCTGTGGGTGTGAGTGTGGTATATGGATTTATGAAGTCTTTCCAAAAGATGTCAGCATTGTCTTATCGGACAGGGTTTGGAACTTGGGCGCAAGAGAGGTCGTGGTCGTGGTCATGGATGCGGAGGATGTAACCAGACTTGGCCTAACCGCCATGAAGAATGGAGTTACCTACGAAGTAGTACCTCCAGCTACCTAGTATGCTTTCATGTTTGACTGCACTGCTTGAAGATCTCTTATTATCTTCTTCGTGAACCATACAAACATCAACAATATATAAACCTTGCCACGTTAAGTTAAGCATTGCCAGAAGCGAAAAGCTTAATTTTCCTATCTACAAAACTTCAGGCTTTTGCATCTCATCCATCACTTCTATTGTTTCATTATGCTTACTGCTTACGCATCTTTGGACCTGATATGGCTTTGTTGCAGTTTCACAAGTCCGTTCGAAACTGACCTGATGCATAAAGGTTGGTGCCCCGAAGATAATAAGACTCTTGTCTCAATCTTATCTGACAGAATACTTGTTTATCACGCTTCAGAACAGAAGTTCAAGTCATTATCTAGGTAAGCGACTTGTTGCAGGAGACAAAAGCATAGATACCTAAGTATACAACTAGACGTACAAAGATTTGTGTCCATCGCCGATCATTAATGCTTGCTTGATAATGTCTTTTCCCTCCGCAATTTTCCTCACAGCTCCTCATAATAAGGAGTGGAGATTTTTGGGTCGTACACACATAGAACTCAACTCAGTTCGCACGTCAAATAAAGCAAGAAACTGACTGTTTGCCAACAACCTCGCTTGCACACATATGAGAGCCCCCGATCAATAATTATAGCTGATTCCCTCGGCATTCAAAAGGTCGGCATTAAGAATATCGGCAATAGCGTTACCAGACTTTTGCTGAGGATTACCAAAATCTCCCTCTCTTGTCACATTGTATACCGCCGGGTGTGTTGATCCCTGGGGCTGTCTTCTCGGTACGGTGTGATGATTTTCATAAGCAAGGGGCTGGGCAGGAAAATTGAGAGCTCGAGACCCGTTCACACACACTGCTGACCTTGAGGAAGGCACAAGATCGTTATTGTGGAAGTCCTGAGGGATGCTGAAAGGATTTTGGCAATCTTCCAGTGAACCCAAGAAAGTATCGTGATGAGAATCGAAGGCAATATAATCGCTTCGAAAATCCCAGGCGTTCCGAGGGCCTGCAGAGTTGTCAAAGTTGAGACTTTTAAAATCCGATCCCGATCCCCGCTCATCGGATTCCATGGGAGTAACAGTCTGCCATTTTTCAAACTCGAAAGTGGTAGATGGAGAAGGAATCGGTGCTTGTACATGATGGCCATTGAATTCGAGTGTTTTCTGATCGGAGAAACTTGGGAGGTTTGTCATTGTAGCCGCTTCATGCGTGGCATCCAATCGACCTGATTTTGTCAGCTATTGTTTTCGTAACAATCAATTTTCACTTACGCAATTTAGTTGACCGCATGTCTTCGGTTTCTCCAGAACCAAAAATATCCTTCTGTGCCTGCAGCTCTTCTGTATCTTGGTCACTATGGAGCCTTGGTCGCTTTGGTGGATCTCGTGCCGGAGTTATTGCAAGGACAGGAGACTTTTCAAACTCGGAGAGAAGAGAGCTTGTTTGGCTACAAATTGCATCTACTTGTAACTCATGGCAATCGTCATTTGATATTTTCAGGCTCTCTGTTTCCGGATCTTCTGACGATTGACGACTAGCCTGCGTAGCTGCAGCAGATATTTCATCCCCACCAAGCCCATGGGGCTCAGTAATGGCCGTTTTGTCGCAGTCTGGATTTACGTTTTTTTGTTGGTTGCAACTATGTCTGAGCAACTGCTTGCGGCCAAACCAATTTCCACAGGCAGGGCACGCCTTACAAACTAAGTTCGTTGGTTAGCTCATGGCTCAACATAGTACATGGCTCTACCATACCTTTCATTCTTTGGTGTCTGACGACGCCCTCACGAGATGTCAACGTCGCCCCACACTTTTCACAACTTGGAAACTCCGGTATCACTGGTCTTGTTTCAGTTTCGTCGACTGCAGAGGTGTCGCAGAGATCCTCAGCTTCCACGTCAAGAGGAACTTTGCAACTCGTCTTGGGAGAACTGTCGTCCATCACTTCGGGTGGCACTTCATCTTCTACTTCAACAACTCCGCCTTCTTGTCCATTCAGCCGCGTTGATCTCCTGTTGGATCTTTGTCTCGATTTACCAGACGTCTTTTGTGGCAATCCTGCTTTCGCAACTGTTGTCACCCGATCGGCATCAATTTTCTTTTTTGCGACTTCTACTAAAAATTCAAGGGGAGATGCTTTTATCTTTTTGGTACCGCTGAATTCTGCATCGAATCTTTGATTCTTTTGGTGTTGTTTATGCTTAGCAATGTCCGACATTCGAGTATATTTCTCACTGCATATAGAGCAAGGAGATTGACACCATACAGGTCCTGCATTCTATTAGATCTATTAGTTCGAACACAAGGTAACTTACTTTTCTTCAGGTGCTCTTCGAGGATTGCTTCTGGGTACAAGTTCAAGCAGGTCGAGCAATGAGATGATGAATCTCTAGGCGTCTCACCGCACTTCTTTGGTGATTCCTGAGAATATCTACCTGTTTGGTCAATTATTGATGGTCCAATACCCCGCTGCAATCCATTTTTCGTGGAGAAGTTCCTAATATTTGCCGCATCACCCACTTTTGCAGTGATCTGATGGCCCTTTACATCTTTTTTGGCTTTTTCTTTTTTCCCGAGTCCAGTTTTCGATCGTAAAATGATTTCTTCATTGGCATCACAACGGATCTCGTCGAATTCTGAGCAGTTGTCAGCCCTGTCCATGATTTTTCATTAAAATGATTGTTGTCTTACTCTTTGAAACTACTAGTTCACTTGTGAGGCAAGATTTCTTCTCGCGCACTCCCGCTTCATGGATAATGAAATTGTTTGGTTTGTTCATCATACCCGCAGGATCATTCCATTTTGAAGCAGTCTCTGTTTCATAAACAAATAGAGAAGCATGTCTCCAAACTTCGCAAGTCAAGTCTTTTCCCGGTTGTTCGGATGCAACAATGCCTTTAGAAACCGGCATAGCTTCACTTGTTGCCGTTCCTGGTGGGTATACAACAAGTTCATACTGCTGTCCAGTGGCAACAGTACTCGCCTTGAACGTCAAGGCTGTTATAAACAACGTTCCGACTGTGCCTTCTGAATCGACCCATATATTACTGAGAATTTTTTCAGAATTATGTGGAGGTTTGCAAAGAGGAGCAATGGCCTTGGAAAATCTCGATACAAGATTCTGTGTTTCCTCGCGCAAGTCATTCTCCGAAAAAGAGGGATCCCGTATTATACTAATGTAGCTCTCCAGTGCAAGTTTGCGAGCACATTTCCAGTCACCTTGAAGATTGAAGTATTGACCGATCAGCGTGCTGCAATAAATGAAGGGGACTTCGCGATATACCTTTTTGTGAGACAACTTTCATTTGCGCCAATGACAAGCGATTTTCCTTGAATACTGGAAAGTCTGTCATGAAAACCCACTGCTTCACCGCTGCCAATGCGAGACCACGAAGCAAGAGCTGTGGATCTAGATTCTTCATGAGTTTCTCAATTCGTAAATTCGATTCGGCACCATATAAAAGATGGAAAAGATGCTGGAGATCAGTATTGATGTCTCTAATATCCATATTGGTGCGTAGGATGATACCGTTCTTGTGCATTATGGACTCCAAGGCCAGTCTCATTTTTTCCATGAATGAATCGATTTGTTTGGAACTCAGTCGAACTTCAAGCTGCCCGCCCAGATTTCTGAAGCTTGCATCTTTCTCCAACTCTTTGATTCGTTGAACTTGTTGCCAATTTTGCTGTAGAAGGGCGTACCAAATGGTCTCAGTTGAACCTTTGCTGATTTCTCGTCGGTTCCGTGCATCGATTAAATTTGTGTTTTGGGCCTTGACTTCGATAAGCTGAGACTTCAGGTTCCCGTTCTCTTTCTGAGAGATGATGGCGATCGTTTTCCAGTGTTCAAAACTTTCTTCCGAGAATGAAGCCATTCTAGATTGGGACTTGATACTTGAATGATGTCCATTCTCAATATTCTGACGGGTTTCTGGACAATTGTGTGAGTCTTGGTGATCTTGAGATGCGCCTTCGGGGGACCAAGGAGTATTTGGAGGGGCTAAGGTGGAATGCATCGACTGAGTATTCTGGGCGGTGAATTCCACGTTTCCTTCTCTCTGGGCAGATATGCTTTCAAGTTGTGTTTTGAGGATGTAATCTTCACGGCTGCCGAAAAGAAAGTTTTTAGGAAACTCCTTAGATTTCATCATGAAGATAATTAAGTATCAAATATTTCTAGGTTTCAAGTTTTACCTTAATATGGTTCGGCCATCAGTTTAGATCCAGTTGGCACAGACTGGATTGCTCTATTTATTTATCCAACTACTATGGACGCCTCATGAAAGTTCCAGCAAGACATAAGTGACTTGCTTTTTTGGAGCAAAATGAAGAGTGTGGGAGTAGGGGTTCAGTGTCGACCAGGGTCTCATCGAATTGCTTTACGATTCATCATGTTAGGCTCCCGGCACTTGCAAGCCCGTGAGACACAAATAAGTTCAATTGGTGTCGGATCATTGAACGAATTCATCGCGCACATGGCGGAATCACAAACGCGTAACGCAGCAAACGGAAAATTCTTGGCGTTACCCAGCCTTCAGGTTTATACTACACACGACCCCTCAAACCAATCAGCTCAAACAGGATGAGATGTTCATTTGATGGCGGCTTCTTCTGACACCATATCCGACGATTAATTCAAGCCAAACGTTGGTACCTAATTGAATGGCTGAACAGAAGAAGCGCTCTGCAGCGAACAGTATGTTTCGAGTGGTCTCGTTATCAAACGAGAAACCAGGTGGGTGGGAAGTAGCATCCACAGACGTATATGCCTGCAAATTAAACGGAGTTCTCTATGCCTAGTCGGGAGACTACATTAACTTTCATTTTTTTCATTCTTTCTGTTTGTTTCATTTTGATTTTTGCATATCATAGCTTTTTATCTATGTTCTTTCGACGATCAGTTTGAGCCTGTGTGGATAACACGAGGATTCCTAAGTAAAAAAATATGTCTTCCATTTTATGCACTGACATGTCCCCAACGCCCTGTGTATCAAAGAAGGCACTCCTTCACCTCGATCTGTATTTATGTTCATGTTTGCGTGTACGCGATGTGTGTAATCGAGTGTGGAATCTACTTCACTATTGTTGTTGATGGCTGTGATGCTGTTCTCATCTTAGCTGATTATACACAAAGGACCAATCAGACTAAACTAGTAAATACGATACGGCTGCTAACGGGCGCACCTACAGTAGCCGGTGCCTAAAGTTAATGGGGTTGGCGTGCTATCTATACTCCGATTCGTAAGAGCAGCTTTCCTTGCCTACCCAGTATATAAAGTTCTGGATCCGACGGAGTTTGCCATACTCGGGATGTTACATATGCATTCCTCGAAGGTTACTAATGACCAAATAAGTACCACGTTGAAGATCGCCCGCACAGCTTCAACCTCGGAAATCAACCCATTCAAAAGACTAAGTATGATACATCTGGCTTCAGGCCCTCGCGGCAATTGTCACGTCCTCCCGAAGTGAGCTTTCATTGGTCTGATTCAAGGCCTCCTGTTTGATCTTCCTCGTTGAGGGTCCTTGATGCTTCTAAGAGTTATGTGTGACATGTCAATTTATCGAACCGACTGTTCTGTACGAGAAATTGAATGAGCAAAGACACAGGGCTGGTTGTGAGGTTTATGTGGAATGTTGCGTGCTATTGAATCAATACTGATTTCGCTTGTGGAAAATATCCTTTTCTTAGGTAGATGCGTGGCATCATACGTGCGCAGATAATTAGTCAACTTGAGATAAATGATTTAATGCTGGCATTCTCCCATATGCGCATATCCAATAGAGTTCTACTTTATTTGTGATAGGGTTCACCGTGCCCCACTTCACCGGTCCTGTCAACCTTGCATGCGAGTTTCGTGTCAAACTTCACTCACTTGTACAACGCCTGGACAACCTCATGAACCAGTACCTTTAACAAAGTAATTGAAATCCACAAGCTAGTACTAGAATCGATACCAAAAAGAAAACCCACCAATCTTCTGCGACTTCTTTATTAGACTGTGCTTTCATCGCCTGGAAGATCCATATATCTCCGACTTCAAAAAATGGCCACTGACCATGCGCTTGAAATAATATCGAGAAGCACTCTATCACCAAACAACCACTTACTCCTAAAGTACTTCATCGAAGGGGCAGTCGATTCGGAATTAGCAGCAAGCTATTTGATCTCGATACTGAATCTTAATCAGGATGTCGAGCCCCAACTTATTCGATTCTTACTGGACTGGAGAAAGCTGGCAGAGGCGTGGGTGTCCCAATGTAAAACAATTTCCCCTTGTTTGATAGAACTGACAACATCCAATAACAACATCTGATCCGATACTTAAGCGTTTTGAAGATCTGCTCCATGAGCGAGACGGTTCCCGCTGTTCCTTGACCAAAATGCGACATAAGGATTCGATTTCACCTGTAGAATCGGCGCACGTGATCCCCCCAACCATGCTTGACGGGATTGAATCCGCCAATGAAGTGGGTTACAGTTACTACACTCATGATTAGAAAAAATCACATATCACTGCTAACAAGCATCAGGGACGCCTTCTTCGAATCTTAGAGGCATTTCTGTCACCTTCTTATGTGGCACGGCTGCGTAACATACTCTCAGACCAAGTGAAAAATGACGAAAGCTATCTCAAAAATTTGTGGCTCCTCACCCCGAGTATGCATAGGGCTTTTCGGGGGGGACATGTTGCAATGAACTTAAAGACCTACCGGAGTGTCAAGCGAGCTGAAGAAAAGGAGATGGTGAGCAATAATATCCACAAATTGAGTTCTGTATTGAGATGTGTTAAACAGTACGGGCTGTACAGGCTCTTCCCAGAAGACTGCTACGGTCTTTTCCTTGGAGATGGCACAGAATGGGAAGATAATATATTGCTTACGCAAATATCCACACCAGATATGAAACGCCTTCCACTACCGAGCTGTCATCTCTTTGAGGTTCATTCTCGATTCGCCACTGCATTACATCAATTTTTTGTTGATGACAAAATTTCTAAAGGTTGGCCAAAGGGTCAGCGCTTGGGATTACTCTCAGATTTTCCCTTTTCCCCAATCAGGCAGATTTTCTGTAATTTATGGCTGCGTCTACCGTCTGCAGCCCGTGTATACTGCTATCACTACTTGTTACGATTCGGGGGATGGCTTTATGGACCCACTGGAGCGATATCAGTTACTCGAATCCCTCTTGGGCTTTACATCAAGCAAACCACACGTTCTGGCCTGAACGAACCTAATGCCCTCAAACTTATTGAAGAGTTTATATCCATCCCTGCACCACGTTTCGTCGATGTCGCAGAACACGGGGATGACCATTATCTCGTGATGACACGCGTCCGTGGTCAACTGCTTCGACACGTTTATCACTTGATGTCTTACACTGAACGTGATTGCCTTGCAGATGACTTGACCGATTATGTTGCACAGTTAAGGAAGATTCCCAACCCTACGGCATATATGATAAGTGACACATTGGGAGGCCCACTATTCGATCATCGTATTCCCAATAATGAAATTGGAGGTCCTTCTAATACAGAAGCCGACTTTAACAATTTCCTTGTTAGTCACGTAGACTCTATACCTGCTAGAGCTCTCGGGGAAGAAAATGTGCCGAGAAATCATCGTTCCGTATCCACACATTCAAATCTTCATTGGTCGAATATCTTGGTAGATCAAGGAAAGCTGTCTGGTATTATAGATTGGGAATGCGCAGGATTTATGCCAGAATATTGGGAGTTTACTAAGGCTATGTATAAAATCTTGCTGCACAAGGATAAGATGGAACTTATAAGAAGGGCATTTGGGAACAAGTATGAGAACGAATTGAAGGCCGAAATGAAGTTGTGGGAGATGACCCCTTTTGGTTGTTAAATTTGAAGAGTCGGGTTCTGAAGCTGGAAACCTAAGATAAGTTACCTGTGAGGTTTTGAGAGGCAACCCGGTGCTCGTGAGTGGTTTGAAATCTTGATAATTAGGCAATTTTTGTTGGCGGAAGATCCAACAGCTACCACATGTTAACATTGAGCAGCAGACTATTGAAAAATGCGTGGGTTCATTTTGAACCTTGCAGCTACTCGCTCTATATCCAAATGCAATAAAGACAAGTATGTGCCAACAATGCAGAAGTAGGGTCTCCTCTACTTCCTACTCAAAGCTTTCATTATTACTACTAATATTTTGGCAAATTTGTATCATAAGGATATCTGGTCTCCTAAATTGTTCCAACTTTCAATTCAATTCAATTCAATTCAATTCAATTCAACAATCCAAGCTGTTTTCAAATCTGTAATTCCAAAACATATTGCGCATGAACCAGTCGCGAAAACTCCCCCTTCCCGCTTTCTAAGAACCCATACAAGCATCGGTGATCAAGCAATACTGTAAAAGCTTCTTTGAACAGTTCTATCTTTCCCGATCAGATTCTGTTGTGCAATTTTTAAGCATTGCTTCTCAACTTTTTGGAGAGCATCGTCCTTCAGCTTGATATATCAAAAATCATCAAGGATCTGAAGTGCCCTGAATACCCAGGTACGACATGTAGTTGACTCGTCAATGGGAAGACTTCCATCTGAATGCTCATCTGGCGGACTCAATACATTTCCTAGGCTATCCCAAAGGTCTGGGTGTATAACAGCAATTCTCACTGCTGTGAGAAAAATTACAGACACGTTGGGATTGTAATCGTGCCTCACTTGAAATCTGAATTTTTTTCAAGACAGTCCTGTTAGTAGCATGATATGGAAAGCCCGTATCCTTCTCTGCTTCAGGATTTTTGGCAAGATATAATGCCCAATGGAATTCAGTCTTGTCACCGATATCGCTTAGTGTGATATACAAGCTTTCGGGCTCCAGTGGTAATGGGTCAAGTCTTGAGAAAGATATGGTTTTCCTAGAGTTGAATTATCTAATGACACGGGTGGTGAAACAATGGAGGATGATCTGGGTGAATGAGGCGTGCTGTATTGAGGATAAGTCTAATGGGTTTGATAAGAGTTGCTCAGACAAAATAGTTGTAAATTCGACAAAACAAGTGCTGAAAGAAAAGTTGAATTAAAATGTAATGAGATAGTTTCAATGAAAGTGTTTGTTCGGTCTGAATAATGTAAGATATACTTGTACCAAACAATCAATTTCATCTGGAGAATATCTTCCTATTTATATCAAGGTGCCTGGGTATTCTATGATCATTATTACCAACAGCAATATACTCGGACACTCAAGTCCCAAGTTAGAAGCGTCCTATGATAGCCTATGGATAAACGAATAAATGTTTAAACCGAAACTTGGGTGGCACCAGATATGATCTAATCTCAGTGAGCGCTAATCTACCATTGCTCATTAGATACCGAGAGAAGGTGTGACTACTTGATCAGAAATAAGCCCCACTAACGCGCAAGGTGTTTTGTGCACTGGCAACTAGCCGCCATAGACGACTCCTCCATAAATTGATTATCTACTTTGTCCACACTAACAGAACTGTCAACAATTCAACTATCATTAACCACCAACGGTTTCCAATTCTCTCACATTCTATTCAACTGCTTTGCGCTGAGCATATATATTAGATGTCCTTCAATTCGTCTTAACCTATGGCTGATATCAATTCTGCCTTAGACGCAATCTCGTCTGCAGATCTATAACCAACTGAACATTCACTACTGAAGCATTTTATCGAAGAAGCAGTTGAGCCCAAACTTGCTGCTCAATTCATAAAGTCAATAGTTGACCAAGATAAAAGCAATGTGGAGAACAATCTACGCCGATTCAAAAAAGATTGGAGAAAGTTGGCTGGCCGGTGTTAGTAAGATGACCAGTCTTTGAACCATGCTGATAATTGATAGTAACGGTTGTTGAGCCTATCTCTAAGCCACTTGACGCTTTGGTTAGAGAAAGAGATGGGCCATATTGCACCATGTCAATGTTTCGAGAAGGCAATACAAGGCCGGTGCCGACATCGGTTGAGTCTGCTCACGTGATACCACCCTCTCTTCTTCGAGACATCGAGTCCGCGGAAGAGGTGAGTTTGTGAAAGGAAATTGTGTAGTAAAATAATTCCACATGTTTAGTTATAGGGAAGCTTACTTCGCATCCTTGAAACTTTTGTTTCTTCACCTAATGTGGATCGGTTGAACACATTGCTTTCTAGTCAGATTCAAAATAATGCAATTGCTTTGCGTAATCTTTGGTTACTTTCACCGAGTGTGCATAAGGCTTTTCGGGCTGGTCACATAGAAGTGCGGAAGAGTGTCGACGATTCTGAAGACGTAGATACCGGGGCTATGCAATTGGAGATGGTGAGTAGAATGATTTTGAACACGAGTTTATTGTAATTGTTGATTTTGATCTTAGTATAAATTGGCATACAAGTATCCCGAGCCACTCAAAAATCTCTTCTTTGGAAATGGATTTCACTTTTCCGGATCTCTAGAATGGTTTGAGATATCTACAACAAATCCTACGGATCTTCCTTTGCCAAGCAAATTTCTTTTCGATATCCACCGCCGTTTCACCACTGCTCTTCACCTTTTCAGCATCGAGGATCAAATTCGTCGTGGCTGGCCTAAGCAAACTAGTAGCATCTTACAGAAAGTATTTAGATCTCCCATCACAACTTTCAAACGAACTTTTCACAATTTGTGGTTGTGGGTACCAGACTCGATACGATTGCGCTGTTATCGTCATATGTGGACCATTGGAAAATGGTTGTATGGGCCAGAAGAGTTCCTTTCGGTCTTTATATCAAAAGAACACGGGGGACCTCATGGAATGAATCAAATGCTCTCAATATGGTTGAGCGATACACCTCTATCCCAGCCCCTCGAAGCGTCGATGTTGTGGAAGACTCAAGCCAAGGTATTACCTTCTTAGTTATGACACGCCTAAGCGGGGAGAGTTTTCGACGTTTGTTTCATCTAATGTCATATGCGGAAAGAAATCAATTTATGGATGATATCGGAAACTGTGTCACACAATTAAGGAAGATCCCAAAGACTACTCCTTATCTTTTTTCTGACACGCTGGGTGGTCCTATGTATGATCATCTCATACCGAATCGAATTGGCGGTCCTTTCAATACCGAGTTCGATCTCCACACATATATGTACAGTGAGGTAGACGAGGGTCAATCACTTGCAGAGATATATGATGGGGAAGAAAATATACCTCATGGCTACCAGTCAGTATTTACACATTCCGATTTACACTATTCCAATTTGTTGGTGGACCAGGGGCGATTCTGTGGTATCATTGATTGGGAGTGCGCTGGATTTAAGCCGGAACATTGGGAATTTACACACGCGAGCTTTGGTGTTTGGGGTAATAAATATGAGATGTCGCTGCTGCGAAGGATATTTGGAAATCAATATGATAAGATTCTTGAAAAAGAAGAGATCCGATGGAGGTATGATCCTATATTTTGAATGGAACTTATTTTTCTAATGAAAAAGGAATACTCTCTAGGCTTTGAAACATGGAAGATGGAAGGCTGGGGAACAAAAATGACGATGACAAGCCTCAATGGTGGAAGGAACATTTATCTTGACTTAAAAAAATTGAAAGAAATACAGATAAGAGCTTTACAATTTAGATCGCAACTAGAAATATCGGTTAGCGATTTACTAATAGTGACGACTCGCTGATAAATCATGTTACATATTTTACATGTATACATACCTAGGTACACCTTACAAAGTCTGCTTATTAACAACGATATTATATACTAGTATTCACTAATACACATGTACAAGCTATCTGCCTTGGGTTCAAATAGCAAGCAGATCTAATTTGGGCCGTCAACCGATCATCTTGTAACAAGTGAGCCTCTTCAGACTTGGCCGACATACAAAAGTATCATGAGACTACGACACGACGATAATAATTTGAATTGACAAGTTGTTCGCAAGGAAGCAAGAGGATCATAAGGATCCGAGAATCTAGATACAAGTGTGTACTAAGAAGATGCGATGTCGGAAAGCAAGTAAACGAACTAGTGTGACATAAAACGTTATATGCACCTGAAACGCACTTGTTTGTATGCAAATCAAAGTCACATAAGAAGATCTCATAACATAATCGTTGCGAAGCATTTGTATTCAATCTGTCCAGGCAAGATAACTAGTTAAGAATAGAAAACCGTTCGGTTGAAAGATTAATGCAATACTAGGAATACTTGAGAAGAAAACGATAACTTTTTTTCCGACTTTTTTTTCCGACTTTTTTCCCGCTTAGCCTGAATTTGTTTGATCTGATCCGATTTGATATGATATAACAACTATGAAGCTGCTTACAACAAGTGGTAGTAAAAGAAAGGAAATAATGAGAGAGGAAATACTGGGTGTGTGTTATCTTGCTGACTATGATCTGAGTTTCCATGAGACCATTAGCAATGACGATTTTGAGGAATTTGGAGAAGAGATAGAAATAACTCACCAAGTCACAGACTGCCATACACCATCACCATCACATATAAATCTATCAAAGAGTGCAACCACCGAGATGCACATCTTCATTTGCCACCGCCTCAATCTCACTCAAAATAGTTCCGCCGTTATTCATCGTTCCCTTCATATAAACATGCTTACTAAAAAGCACCGTACAAGTTTTGGGTAGCACTTCAAATCTCTGCGTAATCTCCGTTTCCGTAAACTCAGTAAAACTCGTTGATTGTGTATGTGTAAACTGATAATTCAACGTAACTGACATTTCGGCGAGTTTGAAACCATGGGAAGCAGTAATCGTAATGCCAACTTGATGTTCCATAGTTTCCGTCTGTGTTTTGGAGATACCGGATTTGATGCGTTGTTCGCGTGTGAAACTCCCACTCCCACCGTTTTCGTACACACCTTCAACATACCAGGCGATCGCTTTGCTAATTGATATAAAAGGCTTTTCAATCTGGGCAATGGTACGGGGGTCTTCGGACCAGAAGAAGCAGCGCATGGGGAGAGTGACGGCGGCTTGTTCAACCACGGCATAAGTTTTTCCCGTGTTTGGGATGGAAGTTTTTGAGAAAGTGGGAACGGATTGATCAAACTCTTGGAATTCGTTCCCTAGGTCTAGGACCGGTACGAATGCGAGTCCGGTGTGAGGTGGACTGTAGTTATTGGAGTGGATGAATGTGTCGGCGAAGAGGGGAATTTTTGCGCTGCCATTTACGCCCAAAGGCTCAGGGACTACCGCCCAGATAGAGATGTCTGCGGATCTTCCGGATCCTCGGTCATTCCATATATCAGCGGGCCAGTAGTTGGCGGGTTTGACGAGATCGGCTCGTAAGCACCAGAGGTAGTCGAGACTTGGTTTGTCGACACTGTTGACCATTAAATCTCCAAGGGCAACATAGCCAGTTGGAGCAATTCTATGAAAGTGAATGACCGAGTCAGTGTATGATTACTCCTCATTTTATGCCACCTTTTGCTTCAGAATAGAAACAAAATCAAGACGGCTAAAGACATTACTTACGGACGCCAGACAGAACCCATATGCCAAGAATGATCATTAGACTCCCACCACAATCTAGTATAATCAGTCGGTCTCTTGACTGCCGGATTTGGATTCGTCGAATTTGGGTTGGGTCCAAACAATATTGTAGCTCTCCAATTTCTCGCCCAGTAATTTTGCTTGTTTACGCAGACTGTACCTAATGTACGCATATCTCCCTGTGGTGTAGGGTTCCAGAAAGTGCATCCTCGATGGGTTCCGTATTCATTATTGTCCCAAGCCCAATGGTAGTCTGCCGTCATGGTGACTCTCAGGTCTCCATAGTCGCGGGTTTGGTTGGGCATTCTGTAAGGAAGCTTGGGTTTTGATTTGGATATGATGTTTGTTGGGATGGGTAATGAGATGGATCTGTTCGCTTGGTTAGGAAAAGTAATAATATTTTGAAGGAGTGAATTCAGGTATTTATATGTAGAAAGACGGATGTCAGGATATGGTATTCACATGTTATGGATTTTCTTTCTCCTTTTTGAGAGTATCACAGTAACAATAACATGTACCCAAATAAAATGCCACTCTGGATAATCTGACCTTGTTGACGTTGACGCCTTTCACAACCAGCCCATCTGATTTCTCTGCCAAGATGGGAGAACATATTGCGTACCCGAGCACATCCCAATGAGAAACCATTGCTCTTCTCCTATCCCGATGACCCCGCACGCATCCAACTCCATTAGGTTTTATCCCCTCTTACAATATGTAGTCCTACAATCAACCTCGTATTTCAAATCTAATTCTGCTGTATCAAGTATCTCATTCGTGATATCGATTTATTTACATATGAATCCAAGATTGTTGCTTCTCTCTTAATCTACCCAGCTCTGTATGCATCCAAGCCTATTAGGTCTTATCCCCTCTCAAAAAATATGTAGTTCCACAATCATTCCCCCATTTCAAATATGACTCTGCTGTGTCAGGAGTTTGATCTGTCATAGTGATTCTTCATTTCCAAATGCTGTATTAATTTGTGCTCACACACTAGTATATGTTGTTGTTGCGATGCAATGATGTGCACGCGATGTGCGCTAGCGCACATCGCGTGTATATAGGCCTCGCTGTCTCCAAATCTGGAATAGTATCAACGATACGAGTTTATAGGAATCCTTTTCTTCTTGTCACACGTCTCACAAGAGGAAATATGGGAATAGCTTCAAAGATCAACAATCAGATAAAAGAACTATGCTAAGGAGGAAAGGCCTTCCTAATGGATAAACCTCTATATAGGGGTTGATCACGTGACTATCTATTCGTCATTCACTAGACAGGGGTCTAGGCATGACAGTTCTTCGAAGGAATCATCAAAATGACAAGGATGTTGAATATTAAAGCTAATTTATTCGCAATTGTTGATTCGAGAAGGATATAAAAGACGTAGCACCTACGTATTATAGGTTCTATATGTCTAATTGTATTCTATCTAAAGAGCTAGTTATATAGGAAAGTAGTAGGTCTTATATAGACACTATTAAAAAGAGCTAGTTTTTTTTCGCATTCGCTTAATCCCTTTGATACAATAGTCATTATATTGAAGTCATTCCTTTAAAGTGAATATTCTTGTTTACACAATAATAATTTCATATCAATATTTATAATAAAGCTCTTCTCTTTAAATGTTAGAGTGAGTGTAAAATAACAACTAGTATGAATATAGATATAAGCCTAGAATAAGACTTTTTATTGATTTCTTTAAAACCTCTTTTTGAAGCTATATATATATGAAAATTCTTCAGCATCGGAATAATATCGGCCCGATACCGGTTCTACATCGATGCTCGTAATAGTTAAAATAGTATAGACTAGATATTTATATCGCTTAAATCGAGTCTCGCTAGGCAAAACTTTCTTTTTCGCGTATATATATAATACTAATAATCCTCGTAAATAATAAGAATGTAAAGGAGATAAATCTTCAATTAAAGAGATAAATACTTGAATTTTTCTTAAACAGTAGTTCATAATAATTTTTTTTGATATTATTAATTAAAAAATTAAAATCTTTTTTATTTCTAATTCAATTCTATATGATTTAATATTATTACTGTGTGAACAAGAGTATTCACTTTAAAGGAATGACTTCAATATAATGACTATTGTATCAAAGGGATTAAGCGAATGCGAAAAAAAACTAGCTCTTTTTAGTAGTGTCTATATAAGACCTACTACTTTCCTACATAGCTAGCTCTTTAAATAAAATATAATTAAATATATAGAATCTATTAATACATAGATACTATATTTTTCATATTCTATTCGAATTAATACTAATTAGTAATATTATAAATTACTCAATTATTCGAAAACCCTTTTTATTCTTGTTTTTTTTTCTATTATATTTAGTATTAGCTTCAATCAAGCTAGAAAATAATCTAACAAATCCATACCTAAAACTATAGGATTCTATAACAATATTAAGAATATTAATCCATTATAAAATAATAATTATATTCTTTATAGAAATATAATAAGTGTCTCCTGTTATTTTTCTTTTAATAATAATAAGAGAAAAAAGAATCAAAAGGATACAAAGTTCAAAAGGGAATTCCAGAATAATTTAATAGATTCAAAATTCAAAAGAATACCTTAGGATTTTTTCTTTTTAAAGGATCTTTTTATAATTAAATAGTTTTATAAAGAATTTATATTTCGATTTATAATTAAGTATTATATTAATAGTTACTTTTAGTATAGAATTATTATATACTCAAAAATAAGAGTTACTAATATATTCCTTTAGAAAATAATTATATATAACTTTAAAGTTATTTAATAATTCTAAATCAAAAATACTAATAAGCTAATATTATACAACTTTGAAAGATTCCTATAATATTATAAGATATATATTAATCCCAGTTTAAATATTAATAATATTCTTATAGAGATATTTTTGTATAAGAAATATTATAAATGAATTAAAGAATAATTTCTAGAATATTAGATTAATAAGATATAATTATTTATATTTATAAAATAAATCAATTTTTTTATTGAATTTAATAGGGATCCGTAAAACAAATTATTTATCAACTTTTCTATCAAATTTTTAGATAATAGCTCAAATAATTATCTAATTAATTTAATTACTTCTGTTTTTTTCGATATATACTTTAAGGATATATAAATACTATTCCAAAAGATTTCTATAGAATAATTTGATAATAATAATAATAATAATCTAAATAACTTTAATAATAATTGAAATGATATTAGTAGTAATGGAGGTAGAAAAGGTAATAGAAATAATAAAGATAATAAATGTTAAAAGGAATAGAATTTACTGGTGCTAAGCATGTGTAGTGATTAGTAATATAGTTATCTAAACGGGCTAGATTAGACAAACCATAGATAAATATATTGATTCCCTCATATAATACTATAAGAGGATTAATATATTTATACACATAGCAATATAATCAATATAAAAGCTTTTTTCATTTAATCTTTTAATAGGTTATAAAACCCAATTAACACAACCTCTAAATATAATTGATATAATTATTATTATAATCCAATTTATGGAATTGAAAAATACACAATACTACTCTATAAATAGTATACAATACTATAATCACTATTACCACTAACTTGTGGAGTTGAAAGAGTATATAATATTATTTATAAATAAATATATATATAGTACAAAAAAAAGTACATAATACTAATTATATTTATATTTATAATCTATATGGATTTATTTATATAGAAAAAGGGAAAGAAAACCTTATAAATTCTTTGTATAAATATCAAAATGGACAAAACCAAAAAACAAATAAAAAACATTCTGAATTTTATTTAAGAGATTTATAATTAATGATTTCAATAAATGAAAATATAATTAAAAGAAAAAGATTGATTTTATATAATTAAATCCATATTGTAAAAATATACTAAAATTAGAGAAATTGGAATGGAAATTGATAATACTAAAGTTTTCCCAATTCTTAAAGGAAACAAAATCATAAATATCAAATTCAATCTTGATAAAAAGACTAAATATTTAAAAAATAAAATTAATATATTATTATATATATGTAAATTATTTAATAATAATAATGAAACGTTTATTGACGAATATGATATAGTATGGATATTATAGAATTATTTGAAATTAAAATATTTAAAAACTAATAATATTATAACCAATATATATTTAATAATAATTCAAATATTTACCTTTAAACCCATCAATTATTCAGAAATAATTATTATTGAAGTTTGGGATAAACTAAAAGAATATTGATATAAATTTAATATTGCTAATCTTATATTTAAAGATTTATATAAAGATAAAACCCTATTTTTAATCTTAATTAAAAATCTATCAAATAAATACTAAATAATAATTGATGTTATAAACATTCAAAGTATATTAACAATAAAAAACAAAATTAAGTATTTTATAGTTAAAGAATTTAGTATTAAAAAAACAGAATAAGTTTATATTATTAATAGAAAATATATAATCCCGAATCAATAAGAAGAATATAAAAAATCAAATCTATTTGAAAAACAAAAACAAGATAATAATATAAAGTTGTTTGCTTATCATTTGTATGAGTAAGAAGGATATTTTTTATGCGATTATAAAAATCTTTTATTTGTATAAGTTCTAATCCACAAATATTATAAAATCTAGTAACAAAGAATAATACTTAAAAAGACAATTAAAATATTATTTTCTAAGAAGAGCAATTAAGTTTATTTTGTAGATGGCAAGAGCCTTCCAATTAATTTTGATTTATCAAAAAGCAAAGAAAAATCTGATAATAAAGAGTACTATATATCCAAAAAGCTTATTCATAAAATTATTCCTTTTTATTAATATATAGATATTAGTGTTTCCTCATATATATCTGATCAACTTTCTTTTCTTAGAGATATCAAAAAAATAAAAAGAAAAACAATAAAAATCAATAAAGAAGTTATATATTGTGATTGGATAAATACTATTATAATAAAACTAAAAAATGGTAGTATAATTTTATTCTCAAAAATATTGTATATATCAGGATTAGAAATCAATTTCCTCTTTAATAAGAAAATCTAAAAAATTGAATTTAAAAATAAATTTAATTCAGATTATATATACTTTCAAAAGAATAAAATAAATATTATTAAAACAAAAATGGATAAAGGAATTTATATAATCTTGAATATCGTAAAAGAATATAAAAATATTGTTTTATAGAGTACAAAGATTATTGATAATATTAAGCCAAATGAAATCATTTTAGATATCTTTTTAGATAAGATTAAAAAGGATCTAGAAATTTATTTATTATGATAT